GGAGAAGAGGAGCAGTTTGTGCGTAAGAGATGGTAACCAACACAAAGAGAAGAGAAGAAGTCTGTGTATGACAGGTGGCAACAGACACAAAGAGAAGATGTGGAAGCAAGACCAGTCGATCGAGGGATGAAGGCGTCAGGTCTTTGACTTTCTGTTTGCGGAGGGTCGCGAAGAATCGGGCTGGAAGAAATTTTTGAGGGATGCGACAAATCGTCGAGGATGCCTGAAAAGAAGGTGATGCATGGCAAAGGTAATGAGCGACATCATCATCATCATCATCATCATCATCATCATCATCTCCATCATCATCACGGCCATGATCATGACTATGATCATGATCATCGTCATCATCAACATCGTTAGTGTTCGATAGCTTACGCAGAAGAGACTGAGCGTGTGCGCTGAAAGCATCAGTCAGATTGGATCGACCTCTTACTCCTGATCAGACCTGAACATCTCCAAGGGCACCCGCACAAACGGAAAGAAGATGCTTCTTGGAATCTGCGGCAGGTTGATCCGAATGTCCAGCTGTCACCCGAACTCACCACTAGCTCGATGAAAGTTTGCGGCAGGAGGTCGAAGATCTGGGGTGAGAACGCAGCTGTTCAGTGGCTAGCAGAGGCTCTTGGCCATGGCAGCTCAGGTTTGACCTTGATCACGGCGCAGGGGGAGGGGGCGGAGAGGACGTTGACTGGAAGTGACAAAGAAAAATGTCAAAGTTGGCTGAGTTGTCAAGATTGTGGACATGTCAAACTTTTCACCGGCTCGCTCACTTGCGACTTCGATCACCTGGACCGCAGAAGGAACAATCTGCCCAACGACGATCACTCTTCCTCCTCCTCCTCCTCCTCTCGTTCACGTCTTCGTCCACCTCCCCTTCCCATTCTTGTTCTCGTTGATCATCTATCTTTTCTCTCCTCCTCCTCCTTTTCCTCCTCATACTTCTAAAAGTCGGAAATCGCGAGGAGCGCAATGCCGATGGTGGATCTGATGGATAATCCACTCTGCAATGAGCAACGAGGAGTCCTGCTGGTACCTCAGAGAAAAGATAAACGGAGGAGAAGGAGGAGGAGGAGGAGGAGGAGGAGGAGGAGGAGGAGAGGAAGGAGGGAGGAGATAGAGAACGAGAGGGCTGGTGTGGAAGAAAACGGCAAGAAGCAGCAGGGTTCATATTCTAGCCAAGGGCGTGAGGGAGGAAGGAAGGGGAGGTAGAGGACGATGACAAGGACGGAACGGAAGAGGAGCTCGTTGTTCCCTTCTTGACCTGCTGGTTCTGACACTGTGCTTGGACATCCTTGAAGCCCGTGAACTGAACTGACAAGTTGGTAGGACAGTCCTCCTCTCCCTCAGCCTCCGCGAGGTTGTCGATGTTGACCTTGACCCCCCGCAGCCTCCCGGAGAGCGTGAGAGTTGCCGAGCTCCAACCCCTAGAAAGGTAAGAGACGTGAGCAGCAGTGAAGGTAAGGGGAAGAGGGGGCATAGGATGCAGAGAGTGAGCAGAGGAGGACGACGAGGAGAGAAGAGGAGGTGCTGAGGAGAAGTCGAGGAGGATAGATACTGCAATGAGGATGGAAGTGGAGGAGCACGAAGGAAAAAGTCACCTTAGGCTGCTCGCTTGTCTGAGAGGGCTAAATGGATCGGCGAGTGCAGTGACTGAGCAGGAGTCACGAGGAGGAGGAGGAGGAGGAGCAGGAGGCAGGAGACCGACCGAGCAGCGCAGCAACACTGGCATGCTTAGCACGAGCTTCGAGGGATCGGAGCTCAGCGTCGTGTCCTCGCGTGTTTCCCTTCAGGTCAACGACTGTCATGGTCGGAACAGGAGCAGGAGCAGGAGCAGGAGCAGGAGCAGGAGCAGGAGCAGGAGCAGGAGCAGGAGGAGAGAGGCAGAGAATGAGCGAGGAAGAAGGAACAGAGAGAGATATGATGATGACGAGAAGGAGGAGCAGGAAAAGTAGGAGAAGGTCCTTTACATGTCGAGGGATGGCGAATTCGATCTCAACGATCATCCATGTGGTGATGGGCATCAGAGATGGAGAAGTCTGCAACGAAGTGAGTACAAGACAGATTCAGACCTCCCTCCTCCTCCTCCGCTGCCAACCCTCTCGTTGTGGCCATACATCTCCCTCTCTTCCCCTCCCTTGCATAATACTCCTCTCCTCCTCTGTCTTCCCACCTTACTGATCAACCCTGTATGGCTGAACTGCAGCTGCATGTGGGACTCGGGGACGTCAAGGACTTTGGAGAAGTCGGAGCGAAGCTGCGGAGAAAGTTTCAGACGACCCTCATGCCCTGAAGAAAACGACAGCAACCTGCGTCAGCCTGTTCATGAGGATAGCGTGTTTTGCCGCAGAAAATCCGCCTTTCAGAAGCAGATGAGGAAGGGAAAAGAAGAGGAGAAATAGAGAACAGGCCATACCTTCTACTCTCACCCTTGACTTTCCATTTTGTGTTTGAACATGCTGCGAGGTCAAGAGGATGAGAAGAAATCTAGCCCTTTCCGTGTCTTTCCCCCCTTCCCCCCTTTGACCTCCTTCCCTCCCTCCCTCCCCGATCATTTCCCCTTTCAATCTTTCTTCCTCTCACCGTCCGTTTTTCAATCGCTACTTCCCATCCTCCTGCCCAACTCGTCCTCTGCTCTTTACCTCTTCAAACGTAGCCCACTGATGGCTCCCATTATCCTCCTGCTGCTGTTGCCGTCCTTGGTCCTACATGGTCCCTCGTCACGTTTAGCAAGCCTCCCACTCTTCTGCACCTTCAAGTTGTCCTGATACGGCGAGTGAAGAGTGTAGGGCACTGCCAGTCCTTGGTGACAAGAGGGAGAAAGAACAACAGCAGACCGGTGAAGGATGACGGGAACCATCCTGTAATCTCCTGGTGGAAGCGTTCGAATCCGACTCCATGATCAACTCCGATGATTTTCCCAAAGGACCATCCTCGGTCGGCTGTTTGGAGGATTTCAACTACCTCTCCTGTCCATGTGTTAGGGTGAGAGAGACGAAATCTTGTGGGAGACCTCTCTTGAGAGTGACTTCTTGTTCACGTTCATCTTCCGGCTCGTAGTTAGACACGCATCTGAATCCCAAAATTTACAGAGTTTCTTGCGCAAGGAAGCGAAAAGACCTGACATAGCTCTGCTCGCCCATGTTCGGAGGAGGATTCAACGTCCTGTGCGAACCATTTTGTGCTGCACAAGTTCACTCCAAGGGCGATGATCAAAGTTTCATTACATTCAAAATGTCTGCCGCCCATGGATGCATGGTGTTTCTGCAGTTCAAGTGCTTCAGACCACATGGACATTCATTCTACATTCAACCTGACTCGAATCCTTCTCGTCAACTGGTGGGACGTCATCGAGGTCCAGAACAAGCTTCATGTTTGACAACTCTGGCAGCGAGACAACTCAGTCTCAGCTCTGCCAGTACAAGTCGGCTTACCAGAAACATCGTCCTCCTCTCCAATGCGATGAACTAGCTCTCGGAATATCTACATGACATGTGAGCAAGAAACAAATCGAAAAGTTAAAGACGAACTCGAAAAACCGGATCCCCGAGACCAATCTTTCGTGGCTCGCTGCTCTGATTCCCAATCTTGATTCTGCACCATAACAGAATCATACTTCTTGTGTAAATGCACTTTGGTAAGCCACACCTACACTTCATTCCCTTTGATTCCGGCCTGGCAACTTTCAAATCGGCGAGACAAGTCAGAAGAACAGGTCACAGGAGTACAAGAATAGATATTTACATCGATCTGACATCATGGTGTTGTCGGGATGACACGGATTTCCAATCAATCAAGAAACCTGTTGAATACACGTCTTTACATTACAGACTCTTTTCCTTTTCAAATTCGCTGTCATTTTCCCACTGTCTAGCAGTTCAAACAAGCTCTGATAAGTCTTTTCAAACTCTGGGGATCATGTACAATACGAAAACGATCCGATACATGTAAGTGAAAATATTTTTGCTGCATCAAGAAATAACCTGAAAGCGAAGATACAAGTTCTTGGAGGTGGATGATGATGATGATGATGAGGAGGAGGAGGAGGAGGAGGAGGAGGAGGAGGAGGATGGAGATGATGACGATGATGATGACGATGATGACGATGATGACGATGATGATGATGATGACGATGATGACGATGATGACGATGATGATGATGATGATGATGATGACGATGATGACGTGATGATGATGATGATGTACATCTCTACCTTCTCCTCCCTCTCTTCCCCCCTTGTCAATTCTAAACACCATGGCAGAAGATTCCCCACCCTCAGTGCCGCCCAACCCCTTTTCCGACGGGTCAACAACCCCTTTTTCCTACCACCCCCTCCATCAATGCATTCCAAGTTCCTCAGGACCCCTCTACCCCCTCTTTCCACAACATTTCCCCGCTGCCAGACCCCTCATTTTTATCACCCACCCGTACTTGGAAGCTACTTCTTGAATTCTAATTGTACCACCCCCTATCTTTACCACTTTTTGCTCACCCCTTCTGCTCCCCATTACTACCCCCTATCTCCCTTCGAACGGTGGTTGGGATTGAGCTTTGACAACTTTTTTTCATCAGTTACAAAACGTTTCATATTTCGTTACGATTGGCGTTGAGAGCCGTTGGAATCTCCCACTGTATTTTTCCGACTACCCCTTCAGCACCATGTTGTACCCGTGAATCTTACCTAAAAAGGTGGGGTACAGAGGGCCCCCTCCGTATCTCCTTTTGGAGCCATGGCAGCTTGTCAAGCAGCATGTTGAGGCAAGAGGAGAGAGGAGAAGAGGGGAGAGGACAGGAGAGGAGAGAGCGCAGAATGTTGGAAGAGAAGAGAGGAAAGGAGAGAGGAACGAAGAAACAAGGAGAGAGAGGAAGTAGGGCAGAGAAGCAGAGTGGAATGAATCGAAGCACAGTATGTTCGAAGAGTGTCGAGAAGACATGAGTGGAAGAATCATTTTGGACAGTAGCAGACGATGAGTTCTTTGTTGATCATCAGACGTCAGAGATTATCGATAGACACGTCTTTGATCCACACGCGATTGACTCGAGAAAATGCAGGGTTGGACTGCCGCGACAAGAATCAACATGACGACAGGACAAAGGAATTAGTTGGTTGACAAGGTTAAGGTGGAATGTCAAGTGAAGTCTCCTCGTCTCGACCTCCTCTGACTTCTGGTTCCTCGAAACTTCTGTTGGGGAAGCGGGAGGATGCCGTCGTTCTGTCAAGAGGGCAGTGCTTGTACGACGTCGCTGACTTGGAATCGATACCAATGGAGGAGGCGAAGGATGTCATTAATAAGCCGGAAATGGCTCATTTCAAGGAAAAGAAAGGAAAACCTGTCAAGCTGTCGTCAAGCAAGTATGTCAAGGCATCAAAGGGCAAGGTCAGCACAAGAAAGTCATCCGATCCTCGACCGGCGGTCGTTGAGATTCCTTTGAGGTCCGGTTCGAGGCCAGCTAGCGCTCAGCACAGCAAGGTCGAACTCTCGTCGGACTATTTCAACAGGTCCATGTACGGAACTCCCAACACCCTCCAACCCTTTCACGCCTCCGACCGCCCGCGGTCAGCACACCTTGCAGGCAGCGGAAGGGTCTCGACGGGGCACGTGAGCAGCAGGTCGGGCAGGCCGCGATCGGCTCTCGGGTCCATGTGTGCGAATCATTTTATCGCCGAGGATGAGCGGGAGGGAGTGAACAAGCATGAAGGGGAAGGGGAAGAGGTGCATCATCAGCACCACCTCCATCCTCCATCCTCCGCCCGGCCCATGTCAGCTCTCAGCGGCATGAGCACGCGGCCCAACTCTGCAATGCAGGGACATGGGAAGTTCCTGTCGGACGACGGGCTGCTGCCTGCCCAGCACGGCCGATCGCCTCAGCTGCAGACCCTGTCGGAGCAGCCCGGGGGACATCGGCACTCGGTGGCAGGAAGCGAGGCCTTCGGAGAGCAACATGGGAGGGGGAAGGGGGGAAGACGGGGGAGGGGAGGCCCTTCACCGTCGTCGCCTCCTCGTGTTCCTGTTGTGATTGGGAAGAAGCTTGAGGAATACTCCATGGGCAGCTTCTTCGATATCCAGATGGTAGGCTCACTTCCTCTTCCTCCCCTCCTTCCCTTCCCTCCTTCCCTTCCCTCCTTCCCTTCCCTCCTTCCCTTCCCCTTTCCTCCCTCCCTCCTCTCCCTTTCTTTCTTGCTTCCCCTCCCTTCTCGTGACCTTCGAATCGCAGGCGATCGTGGCAGGCAAGAGAGATCTCCGTCGTCTGCAGATCCAGAGTCAAGTGGCCCATCAGAAGAAGGAGGGAGAGGAAACAGCCTCCCTCCAGCTCCAGGTCGAGACGCTGAAAAGGTATTTCCTGCTCCCTGCCATCTTGCTAGCAGTCGTCAATCTTGTTGTGTCTTTGCAGGGAGTTTAACAAAGTTCGCTCTGCGCGGATTGAGAAGGAGAAACTCCTGGCAAAGCGGAAGGAGACGACAGCGGCTTACCTTGCTGAGGTTGTGCCGGACGGGCTGCTGGACAAGAAGATCGAACGCTTGAAGAGAGCCAACGATGAATTGTGCGGACTGACTGACAAGCAGAAGGAGAAAAGCTGGTGAGAAGAACTTGTTTCCTTTCTTGTCCTGTTCGACTGATAGCAGCTCCTCCTCCTTCCTCCTTCTTCTCCTTACTCCTCCTCCTCCTCCCTCCTTCTCCTTCTTGGTCCTCCTCCTATCTTTCTTCTTCCTCTGTCTTCCTCACCGTCGTCTTCCTCCTCGCTCGAATCTCCTTTGCACCACATCAGGACCCTGCACTTCATGCTGAGGAGGCTGGATGATCTCGTCGAAGAAGAGTCAAAGATGCTGCAGGCGATGAAGAACGAGGTCGCAAGGGTCTCGTCGCTCAACCAGTGGGAGAAACAACGATGTGGAGTTGTCAAACATGACGCGAACATGGCCGTCACGTCCCTCAAGGCGAGGAGGAAGCTGATCGAGTACGATCACTGTTCCTGGAACCTCTTCATGAGCAAAAGGAAGGCGAGAGAGGAGAAAGAACGGTCCAAGGTCGCCCAGCTCGCCAGTGAGGGAGTTGGATCGAGCGGAGAGGTGGGAGTGAAGGAGGAGGAGGAAGGGAATGCCCAGGGAGGAGGGCAAGAGGAGATCAGTGCTTCGCGGAGAGGGAGAGCGCTGTACCGCTTGCTGGATCATGAGGAGAAGGTAAGAGGACTGACGTGAGGACGAGCATAACATGCTCGCAGACGATGAGGATGAGACACTGGAGGTTTGCGTCCAAGACGATCCACATGCTGAAGGAGAGCAAGCTATCGCTAGAGAGCGTCGAGGAGCAGATCAGCAGGAGCGAGCACGACATGTCTGTTCTACATGAGGCGTCCGGTCGGACTTACGCCGAGAGCATCGTTGAGAGATTCTTCGACTGCAAGGAGAACAAGATGTACTGGGAGAGGCTGGCAAGAGAGCAGGAGGAGGAGCTGCAGCAGCTGCACAAGGAGCATGAGGAGCTCGCGGACATCCTGATAAAGAGCAAGTACCTTGCAGATGCGAGTGAGGAGGGGAAGGAAGAGGAGATGGAAAAGAAAGGACATCAGGGAAGTGTCAAGGTGGGAGAGAGGAGGGATCGAAAGATTGATAGGAGTGAGGAGGAGGAGGAGGAGGAGGAGGACGAGGGTTGGACTCCTTCAGCATCGTTGGACTTGACGATCGAGACGAAATTTAGGGAGATGGTGAGGTCGCTGCAGGGGAAGATGCATCGGGCAAAGTTGGCGAAGAAACAAGTGAAGCAGCAGCTGAAAAACAGGCTGAGGTATATCCATCAGGCGCAGTATGGTGTCAGCGTGTTGAGCGGCCGAGCCGACGTGCTGGAGAACGACGACAAGTTGATGAAGGCGTACGACGAGTATCTGTATGCGAAGAAGAGAGATGAAGATCAGAAGGCTCTGTACGAGAGTCTGAGCAAGGTGAAGCTGAGAATGTACTGATACACGTCCATGACGAACTCTGATGGTACAGGGAGAGGGCGCGTCTTCGGGCATCGGCGACTTTCTCTCAAAACTCCACAAGGATGACAGTTGGGAGCATGATGATATTAGGGGAGTGAGGCAGACTGTGAGGTCGCTGAATCACACGAGAGACCTTCTCATCACAGCCCTCAAGCTCATCAGTGCAGCTCCTCTCGTCAGGTCCGGATGTCTTGTGCTTTCTCGCTCCTGCTGCTGTTCTTCATCCCTTCTGCTCTCCTGGTTGCTTCCTGTACCGTGTCGCTTGTTTGTTGTCTGCTCCTCCATCTCTGTCTTGCTCATGTGAGATGCTCCAGCGCTGAAGAAACAAGACGACAAGAACTGTCCTTCGACCTTGACGTCGAAAACCTCGAGGAAGTACAAGACGAAACTCCACAAACTCTGTCAAACTCTACAAGGTGAAGGAGATCGAAGTCAAACCTTACCCCTGCTCCTGCTCCTGCTCCTGCTCCCTCCTCAACTATGCTCCCTCTGCCTCCTCCTGATCAACCTCCTGCACAACTTGATCTATCTCCTCCTCCTCCTCCTCCTCCTCCTCCTCCTCCTCCTCCTCCTTCTCATCCTCTCCCCCTCCTCACAACGTCACTTTCAGCTTTCGCAAAGAAGGGCTTCTTGAATCCATCCCTCGGGTTGGACGAACAATCTTGGACAAACGAGCTCTCGAAAAAGCTCTTTCAAGCTTGAAAGGTAACTTGTGCTTTGGAACATGTATGCTCTTTGACTTGCTGTAAAGACGGTCAAGACTCTGTCAACACAAATTTTGTCGATCTGTCGGACTCAGCAAACAACTGTCGAATCAGGTGAGCTGTTGTGCTCGCCTCCTCTCCTCCTGCCTCGTCCTGAACTCCTCTTTGTCCTCTTCAACTCCCCGTTGTGCTCCTCCTTGCTCCTCCTCCTCCCCCACTCTCTTTTCTCGCTCTTCTTCCTTCCCTTCCCTTCCCTTCCCTTCCATTGACTCTCTCCTAGCTCTTCCTCTTCTTCCTCCTCTTTCTCTGACCCGCCGACATTTTTCCAGCTTTCCCAACGAGAAGGTCGTGAAGACTAAGTTGAAGCTGATGAAGAAGATCGATACCGACATGGCGGGGGAGATGGAAGAGGCTCTTTCAAGGTTTTCAATCAAGGAGATGCAAGCAAAAGGGAAGCACGTGGTGAAGAAACTACCTACCGCATGTCTGTTCCCGTTGACCGCATGCTTCGCAGCACTTGAATTTGGATGAGGATGAGCAAGACGGTTAGACGTGCTTACTCTCTCACCTCCCCTGACGAGCAGCTTGACAGAAGGCGTTCAGCTACATCATCATCACCATGTCGATCCAGTGCAATACGAAATCGTGCAGTTCAAGGATGGCGAGGAGGAGGAGGAGGAGGAAGAGGAGGGAGCGTTCGATCGTGAGTGGGAGGCTCAGAGGGTAAGTGAGGACGGAGACAGGGGGAGCAGCTGACGATCTTTCAGAGGATGTTGAAAAGCCAATCAACCAAGAAGGTCATGAGGATGCGAAGAGAACTTCACAAAGTGGTGATGCACAATGTTTTGCTCTCCTGCCGATGTTGACATGGACACGTCTACCAGAGACAACAGCGATAATGTTGTACACAAAGTCCTCGCGTTCCTTGACTTCTCCTTGTACAGTGATACATGTTCAATCTAAGATCAAAGTATGATACATCCCTACACGCCATGTCTTTCCGACGCTCTTCGTTCGTCCCGCTGTCTTCTTCTGCTAGAGACATCATTCCATGACAGTCTTGTGATCTGAAGCATACACGTCATGCAAGTCCGCATATCATTTTTCTACCTCATCAACAGCGTCTAGCTGTTTCATTTTTATCTGCTCAGATATGCTGCAATTACGTTCAGTCACCGTCGTTTTGCCCCTCTCCCTTACCTGTCCGCGTACACTGAGAACAAGAATTCAATCTCTTCTTGTAGATTTGGCGAGTTCAAGATCTTAAAGGCAAACATCACCTTCGATGTCTTCACCTCTCACATCTTTATCTTCACCTCCTTCCAACCCTCGGGGCATCTTTCTTCAATCTTCCGCCATTCCTTACTGAGAAACACATTTCCACCTTCAAGGCTTCCGTTGTGGGCCAACAAGACATCTTGGATCTGAATCAGGAGAATCAGATCGTAACCTAGTGTCAGCAAGCCCATCACACCTTCTGCACTACATCTGCTCCTCTCAAGTACCTGAAAAACTTTGACAACACGTTAGCACGCAACAAACGACAGGCAGCTGGTCTACCTCAGCTGACTCGTCATCCAACGACTTTCCTGATACCGGAATGACTCCATAACGCGCGAGGAGAAAATTCTTGTTGGACCATCGCCGATGGAGAGACGCAGCATGTACCAGCCAATGAACAACATCCTTGAAGTGCAATGGTGCGGCAGAACATCTCCAGAACTCAAGAGATTCTTTTGTATCCGAGCTGAAGAGAGAGGAAGACGGTTCAAGAACTTTCTCAACCATGGTGTGGAAGAAGCGATGAAGCGTATAGTAGTTCTTCTTGATGTACAGCCGCAGCTGAATGGATTCGCCAAACAAAAAGCTGACATTGGACGTACACTGCAAACAGACAGCACTCAGCACCTCGGGTACCCTGCTCGCCTCTGACCTTGTGGGTCCAGCCAGCAGGGATGTACAAAGTATCGCCATGGCGCAATAGGAACTTACTTGATGGGAAAGAGAGTTAAAGTCACTACAGTCCCGTGCTCTGCCTCATACCTGAAGTCTTCGCTGCCTGTTGTTGAACTCGTAGATGCGTTAGTGTCTGCAAGGAGCCATATCTGATTCCCTTCTATCTGGAGAATGAAAACGTCCTCATCCCCCCGACGATCAGTCTGCCCGCAAATCGATTTCTCGGGCGAGTAGTGCAGGTTTGCAACAATCGAAAGACCGAAATCCTCCTCGAGACTCTCCACAAACTTCTGAACCTGCGACAAGTTGAGCTGCGGTCGACTTGAGGGAGGTCAACACCTGGGAGAACAAGACGTCTGCATCGTGCAGTAGGATGGTGTATCCATCCTCAAAGTTGTTCAGCGCTTGCTCCTTGTAGATTTCCTCCCCCTCTATCCCATAAAGGTAGGAAGTCTCAAGATCCCCATTAACCATCTTGATTTCCTTGTGGTTTACGAACTGCATCGAAAACGAACATGACCGTGTTAGCAGGTCCCAGGATGCGACGATGACGCTACCGGAACGTTCGAATCTTGCATGCCCTCCTGTCGGACTTGAACAGACCAGAATCGATGCCTGAAGGAATCAAGGGAGAGGTTGAAGAAGTGGAAGTGAGACCGGTCTTGCCGGCTGATCTTTGAGCTCGTCACTGCGCTGGAGGGAAGGTAACAAAGTCTACTCACATGTCTGGGAGAATTTTGCCATGGACTGTCTGGGAGCATGAAGAACTCTTCATCCTGTAACGGAGCACACAACTTTCCCAGCCCATCGTCATCTGCGACTCTTTCGTCTCCTGTCAACAGTTTCTCCTGGACAGCGCGAGCATGCCAGTACCGGAAGGACATCGCCGGAGTCTCGCACGCCCCGTCTCCTGCAATCGTCACCTGACGCAGGCTTGTATGAGAGGACAGGAGACAGAACCCTCCAGTCTCACCTGTCCAGAGATTCTATGCTGTCCTCTCGCACATGATCTTGCTCCGTGACAAGGATGGATCAAACTTCCCAGCTGCAGCCCTGAGCATCAGTACCCGACAGCCTTCCATTTTCTTTCACCATTACCAGGAGCATGAAGCAAATGTCGGCCGTGCGAGATCGCTTCGAGATCATAGTGCGGGAAAACGTTTCTCAGTATCCAGCAAGTTGATTCAGCCGCAAGGGTCCAGCCAACTCGAATAGACGAGTTCACAAGTTTGCTGACGACGTGGATTCGCTCTCAGCAATTCTATCCTCTCATCAACCTGACGGCTCAGCCGGATGTAAGCATCATCAGGATAATTCCTTCCGCAAGGCCTGGCATCGGATTGGATGAAAGAACACCAAAGTACTGGCTAGCATGTCAACTCTGCCTGCTCTGGACATCTTGTCCTGGCACGCTGGGCATGAGCGGCAACTTGACATTGTGCTATTAGAGACCAGTTGGATAGGGCCAGACTGCGCTCTCAGTCAGCCGTGTCCCGGGCCTCGCCCGCCGGGCCGGGCCTGGGGAACTTTGCTAACTTTCTTTGTTGAAGTTCCAACGAATCAAAGTTTGTCGAATCCCCGAAAACTTGCAGAGTTTCCTGCCTTCCTCTGGGTATTTATTACCCCCACCCCTCCGATCCCTTTGATGGACCCCTAGAGTTTATACGAGCCACCATCGCAAGCTCGCTGACACCACCCCTCCTTTACTCACAGACAACCCCACAAAGGCGTGGAAAGGAGACTTGACCGCTGGGGGTAGATTATTGCTAGATTTCACCGGTACTTCACTACCCCAAGGGACCTTGGACCCCCATATTTCGATGGTCTTCTTACACTACCCCCTCCGGAATGGTTACGACTCACATCAAGACCACCTGACCCCACCTACCCATGATTGCATCTACACCTCATCAACTACCCCCACCCCTTACACGTCTGGTAAACTACCTACCCACCCAACTCCCCCATACCATGATACAAAGGACCCTACCAAAGACCATTGTTTTGAATCAGTAGAACCCTACCAACCTTTCCAACTACTGTGTACCCACCCATTAACCAAAAATACTACCCTACCATTGGAGCCTTCGCAACTACCCCTCTCCTGATGAGAAATTGTTGGGACATGGCAAGAGATAGACGCTAGGGAGCAGGGAGAAGGGAAAGGGAGAAGGAGATTGCAGAAAGAGTTGCTGAGATCAGATAAGGAGACAAGTAAGCTAGATGAAGGTTGTATGAGGAAAAAATGTGGGAGAATTGAAAGTAAGATTATATGATTCAGTTGCAGAGGAATGGTGACCTGTCTCCGAACAACGGATCAGTCGTAGGGTTATCGTTTACTTGAGCGCAATGTTCTGCTTGTTCTTACCCATCGGTTCAAGAACGAGTTGCTGTCATGTTGGTATTTTATGTTAGACTTGAGTAGCAGTGTGAATGAGTTGCGTACCTCGAGCAGTTCGGGCATTGCATAGACAGCTCCCGACAATTCACGGTGCCACATGTCTTGACTGCAATTGAATGTTTATCATATAGGATCTTCTTGAACAACCGTGGAAGGGATGATTCAACTTGAAAAAAGGCTTTGCAGCCTCGTGGTCGGGAGAGCTGCACGTTCGGTATGTAAAGTTTTTATAATTCAGATCAAAGATATGAACGTTCGATTCAGGTTGCAACTTTTCGAGGAGCTCCAAGTGTTGTCAAACGATCCTTCGGAACGGCTCTGAACGTCCAGGGAGCAGCTCAGTCTCGCAATGTTCTCAAGAACGTCAGTCTCATTGAGATGCTTGTTGTGTTTCGTCATGTGAGAGCTGAAAACAGGCTGCTTTCCGAGTTCCGGCTTCACATCTGCGATATTTCTCTGTGACTGGAGGAGAACCTTCTGTGATCCCGGTATGTCAAGAATGTCCATCGCTCCAGCCAGGAGCTTGGAAGCATCTTCAGGCTCGTGTGACCCTCTCCTCGCAAAGGTTCCTTCTATGGGAGATTCCATCTCTGAAGGAACCATTGTTTCATGGCACAAGAAGCCTGGAGACCAGGTAACTGACGGATATGAGTCTAAGTGCAACTTTGACTCCTGACAGATTGAAATGGATGAAATTTTGTGCGAAGTCGAGACAGACAAGGTCAGTGCCAACCGCGGGCTTGCTGGCCATGGAAGAAACTCACTGTGGCTGGTGGGTGATATGCAGGTCACAGTCGAGATTCGTGCGCCCGATGCTGGTGTCATTCAAGAGTTGTGTGCGAAGGAAGGAGACACTGTCCTGGTAAGAAGGTTCTAGTCATGGTCAACTAAAAGATGATGCTGCGCGCAAGGTCGGATCCGACCTCATCAAATACCTCAAAGGAGCTACCGGAGGTGCCAAGGCCGACGCTGGTGGTTTCCTATCCATGCCCACTTGACTCTCGTTCACTATCATCATAGCTGCGCCACCCAAGAAGGAAGCACCCGCAAAGGCCCCCCCTGCAGGTTGATTTCCCTTGTGCTGTCGCCGAATTCCAGCAGGATCACCTGCGTTTCGCTTTTGTGTATTGAAATGGTTCTGCCAGCAGATGCTCCGAAGCCGCAAGCTGCGGCTGCTCCTTCGGCCCCTCCTTCTGCTCCACAGCCTCCCAGCAAGCCTGCAGCTGGCTCTGCTTCTGCCCCCCTCAGTTTCAAGTGTCCAGCATGGGCGAACGAATCGATCGCCGCGTGCCCATGAGCAGAATGAGGAAGAGGATTGCCGAGAGACTGAAGGACTCTCAGGTCTTCTGACTCCCTTTGATGCCATGAGACGTGATATGAGTTGACATAGAACACTGCCGCCATGCTGACTACTTACAACGAAATCGATATGACCAGGTGCTTGAAAGTGATTGTTGTCGCACTCACTGAGTTATTTCTTCAGCGTGATGGAAATGAGAAATTTGTACAAAGATGAATTCCAGAAGAAGCACAACATCAAATTGGGTACTTTGGACAACTTGCATACCTATCGAAAAGCAATCTTCTCAAAATCTTCATTCTCTAGGTTTCATGTCGGCTTTCGTTAGTGCGTCTGCTAAGGCCCTCAAGGCTTTGGTATTCCCCTCTGCTGGTGAATTTATTTTGCTTTGACCATCAGAACAGCCGATCGTGAACGCCGTCATCGATGGAGAAGACATTGTCTACCGCGATTACATCGACATCAGCGTCGCTGTCTCGTCTCCCACTGGTCTTGTCGTTCCAGTACTGCTTTCCCGTTCGATTCGATGGGCGTGGAATCTGACATTTGGAAAGGTTTTGCGTGATGTACAGAACTTGTCCTTTGCTGCCATTGAAGGGGCCATCAACCATTACGGAGAGAAGGCGCAGAGCGGTGAAATGTCATCCTTTGCTGTTGATGACTAAAAAGAGGAATTTCCAGGAAGCCTTGCTCTTGAGGACATGGCTGGAGGAACATTCACGATCTCGAATGGAGGTGATTAGTGATGTTTATGTTCCCTTACATAGTTAACTGTGTAAAACAGGCGTTTTCGGCTCCATGATGTCGACTCCCATTGTGAATCAGCCTCAGGTATGGCGCGATCATATGTAGCGGTGCCGTTGAGATGTTCTTGCAGAGTGCTATCCTGGGAATGCATGCTACCACGAAGAGACCTTATGTTGTCGATGGCAAGATTGAGATTCGACCCATCATGTGAGATTGGAGCAGTGCAGAGGAAGAGCTATGAGGGAGGGAGGATTAGAGAAGGAAGGTTGTGAATGACTTTTGTCAAGGTATGTGGCTCTTTCTTATGATCACCGCATCATTGACGGACGTGAGGCGGTGCGATAGATGTTCGATGAGATGAGGAAGGTACTGAGAAAGCGCAGGTCACCTTTTTGAAGATGATCAAGCAGCAAGTGGAGGATCCTCGAAGGATGTTGCTGGACCTCTAAGTCGATTCTGTTTGCAGAGGTCCTGTCGCTTTGATGATTTATTAAACAAAGAGTTGGCTTTACCATCTCATTGTAAGGATCGGTTTGATCTGAACTTCCGTGTACCCCAGCATTGAACTCCCGACGTCTTTGCAAACGGCGTCGGCAACGGTCCGATTACTTCAGCAATGTGGTGAGCCAGCCTCAGAGCTCTTTTTTTTCGGAATTCTTTTTTTTATTTTACAGGCACTCTTTTTGTTTTCTTTGAATTTGAGTTCTGGCGGGGAACACGCCATGCACACCTCGATGAAGCGAACGAAAGAAGGCGGGAAGAGAGAGGAGGGGAGGGAGAGAGAGGAGGGAGGGTAGAGGAGGGGAGGGAGAGAGAGGAGGGGAGGGAGAGAGAGGAGGGCAGGAAGAGAGAGGAGGACACGAAGAGAGAGGAGGGCAGGAGGAAGACGGGGTAAAGAGTGCAGATTGGATACAAAGATAGACCAGTTACGGATTGAACGACAAATCTAGCCGAGGATGGGGGATCCACTGGCAGGAGGGAAGGAGGGAGCAGAGGATCCAAGAGAGGATGGAGTTCGAGATCATGGGGAGGAAAGGAGGAGTTGCAGAATGGATCATTGTGCAGTGCGAAAGAAGACTGAGGTAGGAGAGAATGGAATGAAGAATTGAGACTGGGAGGAGAAGTTCGAAGGATGACTTTTGCCCTGCAGCGATTCAAATTTCTATTGCGATTACTTTCTGCGACTGAACTCAGACCGGGTCGAGGTGATATGAGCTGTGCTTGTGAAAATTTCCCATGAATACTCTGGCAGGAATGGAGCAAGAGCTGGTGGTATTGGAAACATTTTGAAGCTCTGTTTCGAAAAATTTACTGCGATTGTTTCCAGCTGCCTTCTGAATGTCCATACACGAAGAATGGTTTCTCAGTAAGTTCTCTTCGATGCAATTGAAAGTCCAAATTTCTCAAACTCAATTTCAGAATATCCCTCCCACACCCGAGCTTCTGGCTTACTATCAAGGTCGATGGGGATTTTATGTTTGCACGCTTTCTGACATGATCTTCCTGACCATCAGAGAAAGTGGAAAGTTTCTCAAGGTTAGAAGAAGATTACTTGTTCCGATTGCAGCAGCTCGAACAATCTGTCGAAGGTGCCGTTGTCTGTGCGGAGATGCTGCTCTGACTAGAATTGGATTGCCAGAGAAACACAGGAGCAGGTGGCAATATTTGAGAGCTGAATCAGAAGTTGAGGACTTGCAGCAAGCGCTCAGGTCCTTGTCCCTTGTGCAACTTTGGTCTCTGATGTGATGTATCTCTAGTGATGCCAAGTTGGCAATATTCGATGAAAGGGAGAAGGTCCTGATAGCCCTGAAGATGCTTGACATGCAATAACGGAGATGTCAGGTGTTGAAGTTGACAGCAGAGAATGACATGCTGAAGCTGCAAGAAGTGCTGCGAGACAATCTTATCATGAGGCTGTTGTCCCTTACAAGGCTGTGCAGATCAACGATCGTCAAAGGATTCAGCAACTCCTTTCTTTGACTCAGGTAGTCTCTCAGCCCCTGCTCCTTGGTTGTGCTATGGGCTCACCTTCAACTTTTCAGCCTGTTGCGGAAGAGATCACGCTCTTCAAAGAATCTCTTCCTGCTCATCTAGTGCACGGATCGAAGTTCTATCAGGTGAGGAGCATGAACAGGGAGGGTGGTGAATCAAACAGTTGACGAAATTTTCAGCAATACGACAATGACTCGTATAGTCTAAACTCCTCCGGGAAGCTTATGATGCAGGTAACAACTGAAATGCCTCTACTCCCTCTCCTCCCTCCCTCTCTTCCTTCTCCTCTCTTTCACCTGCCATCGTTGCTCAAGATGGCTCTCTGTAGAACTCCATGTCCAGCCTCACGCCAAGCTCGCAAGCTGCTCAATTCAGAACAGTGAGGAGGAGGGGAGGAGGGGCAGGAAGGGACTCAGTGCCTGCAGGTCTTCCTGCCGTCTCAGAACTCAGAAGTCTTGCTGATGGAGCTCCAAGTACAGCTCGAGCAGTGCTGGACTTGTCTGACATGCGATCTCAGGCTCTTCGGCTGCAAACTGAGGAGCAGAAGAGATGTTGGAGAGAGAAAGAGCAAGTCTTGCTGGAGGACAGGTGGGCTCAATCGTGCGTCTCCCACTGTTCATGCACACATTCCGCCACCTTCCCATCCTCACTCACTTGCCGTGACGAGCAGGCGAATCAAGATGGCAGAAACTGCCATGGCGAGGGAGAGGCATGCGGCTCAGGTGGAGGATCTTCAGAATGCTATCTTGAAGGTGTGGAGCAACATCATCGAAACGTTTCCTTTGCCTTCCTCATGATTCCTGCTGCAGCTTGAGAAGGAAGTAGCACACGTGACCAAAGATTACTTCATTGTACGGCATTCCTGCGGGAAGGTCAGGACGATGGAAGGAGGAGGAGGAGGAGGAGGAGGAGGAGGAGAGGGTTGAAGTGAGAGGAGAGGGTTGAAGCAGAGGAGGAGCTACTTGACGGAAAGTCTGCAGGATGTGCATGAAGCGAAGATGCGAGAGGCAGCGACAGAGAAGAAGTGAGTGATTTTGGAGATTTTGATGTCTGATGACCTCTCACTTGCTCTTAGATTTCAAGAACTTGCCAATCACTTTGAGAACTTCTCGAGCAAAACCATCTCAGACATCGAGAAGGTTGAAATAGTGTTATCGTGCTTGACTGCAGTTTGTTGTGGCCCTGCATTGACTTGAATGCTTTCTTGTACTTTTTGTGTGATGAATACAAGGATGAGAATGTTCTCTTGTTCGAGTCCTCTTGTTGTTTTCCATGACATCTTTCTTGACTCGCAGACTGCAAACTGTGTGCATCAGAAGAATCAATCTGTGCTCGACGCGTACAAGGCGCAGGTGAGCCGGAGGTGCGAGTCAGACTTTTCTCTCTCATCTGGCTCAGGCGTTGGAAGCTGATCAAGAAGTTTTGCGACTCAAATCGAAGGTACATGGAGGAGAGGAGGAGCATGGAGAGAGGAGCAGAGGATAAGTTGAAGCGAGGAGGAGGAGGAAGAAGAGGAGGAGGAGGAGGAAGAAGAGGAGGAGGAGGAGGAGGAAGAGGAGGAGGAGGAGGAGGAGGAGGAGGAGGAGGAGGAGGAGGAGGAGCTTCACCCTCTCGACGAGAT